GATTTCATTTTTCCCAGATCCTCTTTTGTTGCCAGTTCAGAGAGTCCAGGTGGTTGAGTATCAGAGTGTTCCATCTCGTTTCCCTTTGGGGTTGCTGGAGGTGATCTGGAAGTCTGTTTTTGAGGCTTGTTTGTGTGTCTTCTCATTTCCACGGGGGGAGGGGGTCTTCTGGTGCCCATGCGGCTCAATTTCTGTGCCCTAGGAGCTTGGAATGGCAACAGGGGAGCTTCCTTCCAGGTGCTGGGACCGGTTGAGCTTCACTGCCCTAGGAGCCTGGGATGGAGGTGGGGAGCTTCCTTCTGGGTGCTGGAACCTGCTGAGCTTCTCTGCCCTAGGAGCCTGGGATGGAGGTGGGGAGCTTCCTTTCGGGTGCTGGGACCAGCTGAGCTTCACTGCCCTAGGAGCCTGGGATGGACGTAGGGAGCTTCCTTCTGGGTGCTGTGACCAGCTCACCTTCTTGGCCCTAGGAGCCTGGGATGGCAGCGGGGGAGCTTCCTTCCAGGTGCTGGGATTGGCTGAGCTTCACTACCCTAGGAGCCTGGGATGGAGGCAGGGAGCTTCTTTCTGGGTCTCTTCTTGTCCTTTTTTAGAATTAAATTATCCAAGTATTGAACCTTTTTACTCATTTCTGTGTCTATCTTTTTTAAAATCTTTTTTCTTCCTATCCCTCAGTATTCTACCACATAATGAGTATGATTTACTTTACTGTCAGTTGTATTGTTTGCTCCTAATTTGATACTGCATTTTAGTTTTCTGTCATGCATTCATTAGTTTTAGTTTTAAACTGGCTTAAATAACCCATAATATTTCTTTCATAAAATACATACTTTTAATAGTAATTAATCTTTTTAATTAGCTTTGTATTATTCCCTTTCTTGTTATAGCGTCTTTTTGTACATTCCTATGTTGGTTGGATTCTGTGTCCTCAAGTTGAAAGGAGATACTAAAAGCATAGTATTTATCAGTTAATAAAATGGACATATTGTTCTTGGTCATGGTGACAGTTTATCTGATGGTTATTAAAACTGAAACTATGTTTTCATTCTATGAAGTCATTTATCTAGTAGGACTTAACTAAACTCTGAAGGAGTCCACTACCTGTTATTCTGTTTTTGTAATTTATTCATGTTCTTGCTGTACTCCAGTATTGAGAGATTGAAGAAATGAGGTGCACTGACTTCCGGCACTTCTATAATTTGTGTATAGAGAAGTATTCTGTGATATGAAAAGTGTTGAACAAATTTTTAGATACAGCTTATTCTTAGACATCTCAATAGTACTGTATGTAAAATCAGATTAAAAATAGGATTACAGTATATTTTAAAGGCTGTGTTTGTCCAAAGTACCTTAAATACAAATATGCAAGAACAACAGTTCATCAAAAAGGATAGCAGATAGTGTGGTTTATGTTGCAAACATTTAAAAACATAGATGTGGGGCCAGAGATTTAGCTCAGTGGCACCGTGCCTGCCTCACAAGCGCAGGGTCCTGAATTCAATCCTCGGTACCAAAAAACAAATAAAATAGCTGTGGCTCTAATTGATGATTGAGCCCTAGAAAATATTCATCTACATATGTTGGGAGAAATTCTACATAATTTTTTGGGAAAATCATTTCAGATTAAATTATGATTAAGCCTAGTTTTCCTGCTTACATGTTGGCTATGGCATCTCGAGACATAACTCCATTTTTGCCTCCAGTGACAGCTATAATCTCAATGGTCCTGTGATGCTGTGATGCTCCATGGCAGGATTACATCAGCCGAAGACATCGTGGGGTGGGACAAATTCCTAATCAGCATAAATTCTTTGAACCAGGATCTTCATCTGTATAAGTCCTTTATTATTCTAGGATTAGGATTATCTCCACTGCCCTCTAAGTCATCTGTTACTCCAGATGTACCAAATAAAGGTGTGGCAAGCTATAGGGGTCTTTTCTCTTTGCTGCCCAGAGCAGCATTGATCAAGCCCAAAGCTCATCTTCTCTAAGTCTCATTTCCTTTCTTTATTAATTAATTCTCCTTGTGCTGTTGTGGCTCACAGGAGACTAGGACTCACTGCAGGAGTTCTGGTAACTTCCCCTTTCCCTGCCCACTACATACATAGAATTTACTATAGATGAACCTACTAGATGGTTAAATAAGATATTTCTTTTAGTGTTATATTGATGAATCTTGTGTTTATTATACTATTTGAAAATAGTAATCAGTGATGAGCATAAAAGTCCTTGGATGTTGATAGGTCCAAGAGAATTATCCTGGTATATTGGTAAAATTAATTTTTAGAACATGGAAAGTACTTAACCAAATTGGTTATGTTGGTTATTATAACATTAATAACGTTAATTTTTTTGTTACTGTATAATGTAAAGTATTTGAAAAGATACATCGTATCCATGAAAAAATTGACTTAAAATATGCAGTTGATTACCTAACCACAGAATAAATTTTAGCAATATGCATGTTGGAACTAAAATAATTATTTAAAGATATATTTCCTAATATATTTAGTTTATCATTTCTGGCCATACACAAAACACATTATAACAGTATTCTGCAAATACAGGCAAATAATAAGTTGGAGTTTAAGTTTAGTGGAAAGAATCCTATAGCATATGTAAAATGAAGTATTATTAATACATGTATTACATTTTGTAAAGGATTTAAAATGTTTTGGAATAGCTCATCCAAATATAAAATAATTTATGGATTAAAACAAAATCAGAGTCAAGGAAAATACTGTATAAGTAAAATGCAAGAGAGGAGGGGAAGAACACAATAGAGTACTAAGAAAAGCATGCTGAAAAGAATATTTTGTAGTATCAAGTTTGTATCCAGTAGGGATGTGCACTTGTAATGGGGTCTAACCTGATCCGAGGAAAATACCATGTTGCCACATTGTTTCAGGGTCACTTAGTATGACAGTTGTTAACTTGAGATTTTTTCCATTTTAAGAGGACTTAGATTGTGATCTGAAGTAGAATTTTTTGTGCTTTAAAAACCATACAGACATAACAGGAATAGTGGATATGTTTCATATCCTTTTGTCAAACCTAACAATTTAAAATGAGGTTGAATTTTGCTTTCTTTTGCACAAAATTGATGTAGTCACAAATAGCAGTAGCATATTAAAGTGCAAATAGTATTTTACTCTTAAAAAGAGCTTACCAGTTATCTCATTGCCTTTGTTAAATAATGCTTTTTGTCCTCACTAAATTTTGATATCATCTATACTAATATATTTGTATATTCAGGCTCTTTCTAGACCATTTATTTTGTGAGAGCACTTTTATTCTGATATTAGAATGAATAATTCTTAAGCATTCCTCCTTCAAAAGGTTTTTAAATTTTCTTCTGCTCTTTTTCAAATTTTAACAAGATGTATACCATGGTAATAATAGATGCATATATTGTAATAGAGTGACAGTATGCTGCATCAGAAACAATGTTAATACTGTGGCATAGATAATAAAAATGTGAAGCAGTATAATCAAACAACTTATGATGATATAACACTTTCTGAGTAGAGCTATATATTTTAGTATTATTGTGAATTAGTAGCAATCATTTTTTATTGCATCCTCTAAGTTTCTTTAATAATGGCTTTGTGTACTTAGCAACTTGTAGGATATCTCCTTTTTCAGTTTAACTTCTTGATGTTTCTGTCATTTTCATGATACCATACAACGTAATTCTGTATTGCCTAGGAATTGCTCTAATGAGGGGTAGACTTGACTACCATTTAGCGCTCTACTGATCTATATTTTTCAGTAGTTTTAACTGATTTTAATGATATTTGTCAGAGTATATGTTAGATAAAATGTACTAAGACATGAAGTTCTTAAGGAACTATAGTTGAGAGTGATATATTTGGGTAGATGATTAGAAGTGTGTGTTATTTGTGGCTCTAGTACCTTTAAGAATAGACAGACATAAGATGTTCTAGTTAAACTTTTTATCTGTAAACTATTTGAAAATTTATTGAGAAAGTTTTATATTCTGATCTTACAACTCGTAGTTTTATAAAGAATAGGGACTTTTCATCTTTCCCTGTATTTAAATATTTTATAAACTTTGTATTTATTTAGTTAATAAATCATGCTTTAAAAGAACTCATGGAAATAGAAGAAGTGAGTGAAAATATTTTACAAGTTTATCTAAATGGTAAGTATGTCATAATTTTGCCATCAGAAGTGCTATAAACCTCATATGGTTTTTATATTGTAAAAATACTCATTTGAATATTTTAAATCTGTACAAATAATTACATTATTAAAACTAGATCTATGTTTTAACAGGCTGTAATTTAGCACACCATACATAATATTTTTAGAAATTGAAAAAGAGAAATATTTAAGTACTCTGCTGTTTGCTTTTGTCTACGTAGTACTGTCTCCAAAGAAGTCTGTTGTTTTGACTCTATTGAATGTCCTTATTGATGTTTTTTTAAAAAGAAGTGATGTGAACTATGATTTTGATTGTTTCCTTTTAATTATATTTTAAAAGCATTAGAAAATAAATTTGAGTGGAAAATAACCGTGTCAAATGCATATTTAATTAAATACTTTCAAATGGGCTGTATTTCAGGACTCCTGCAGATCAATGATAAAATTGCTCTGAAGGAAATCACAAGGCAGTTACATCTGGAAAATGTAGTGGGAGATAAAGTTTTTGTAAGTATCATTTCAGTTACTTTAGTAAATAAGCTTCAAAGTAAAGTCTGTTTAGTAGAGATATTTTCATTTCTGGAAGTTTAGAGGAAGGGGTCACAGATTCAAAATTAGAATAAGCATCTTGTCATAAAAACGTAATGTATTAAGATAACATTTAGATATTAAACTTTTAATATTTGGATTTTATAGTAGCTTAATTAGCTTAATACTAATTATAAAATAATAAATCCAGGTTTGTATAAGTATTCAGAGTTTATTCCTTTATAAAATAAATTAACAGTTCTCTGTTAAATGATAGTCTATTTCTAGTATTCTGAGACTTGTGTAGCATGGGCATAATAGAAAAATGCTGAATTTGAAGTTATATTAGTGGGGTTGCCTTTGCCTTCCTACCTTAGACTCCCTGTTGATCTTTGGCTAGTGTCTCTCAGATTCTTAATGTGTTAAGTGGGTGTTATTTGTTTATCCATACTTCAGACAATCATTCTGCAGAAAAAAATGAACAATATCTTTTATTTAGAATAAAACAAATATTTTCCTGGATGATAATGTGCAGTACCAACATCAGTGATCTCTTGCTATTATGTTCTCAGAAATTTATCCACAGCTCACTATCACATAGCTTTCAGTCTCAGCACAGTGAACATCATTAACTTAATGGAATTTGAAGTCTTTTGAAACTTTCATTAAATTTTTAAACTGGCCCCTACTATGTAAGGTTTCAGAAAATAGTATTAATTTGTGTCCTCATTTTCATTGTAAAACTGCTGGTCATACTGCTTAAGCAGTTGGATGGGGATATACATTCCAAGTTTATTTTTCTGGTCACAGGTGATTTACATTGTGCTGTCACTCTAATCTCCTAAGTATGCACTCTCTGCTGCAGTTGATAGAACCACAGTTATAGAAGCCTCAAAGCATTTCAGAATTGTCTTTTATTAATTATTTTAAAAATATTCAGCCAACCAGTTGCTAACCTTGCGAATTTTGCAAGACTTTGAAGGCAAGTTCTGAATGCCAGTTCTTTATTTTGTATTAAATTCTTTTATTGGTACATTGTAGGTATACGACACAATTACATTTCTCATTGGGAATTGTACCTTTACATAATGCATCTTGGTTCTTATTTTTTCCCCATTCCTAGCCCT